CTCAGTCGATAAAGAATCCACCTTCAGTGTGGAGGACCTGGGTTCGACCCCTGGGTTGGGAAGATTCCCTGGAGGGCATGGCAACTCACTCCAGTATTCTTGCCCAGAGAATCCCCATGGACAGAGGAGCCTGATGGACTGCATACAGTCCATGGAGCTGCAAAGAGTCCGACACGACTGCATGACTGAGCACAGCAAGCCCTTATGGAAGAACTCACACTCTAGCAGAAGATACAAAAAACTCAGGACAGAAACAGATAAACATTCTACTGATGTTAAACAAAAAGCTCTAGGAAGGCAACAGAGTGACAGTTACTGAAGCAAAGGTTTCAGAGGAGGTTACAGCTGAACTGGAGAAATGCATTCCAGACAGACAGCAGCCCAGTACCTGAAGGTTCACATTTTTGGAGAAGGACAAATAATAGTTCAGGGCTTCCCAGGTGGCTCAGTAGTAAAGAATCCCCCTATCAATGCAGGAGATGCAAGAGAGGCAGGTTCCATCCCTACGTCGGAAAGCTCTCCTGGTGTAGGAAATGGCAGCCTGCTCCAGTATTCTTGCCTGGGAAAATCCATGGACAGAGGAACCTGGTGGGCTACAGTCCATGGGGCTGCAAAGAGCCAGACACAACTGAGCATAGTACAGCACAGATCGTTCAGTGGTGGGTGAGAGGTAGGAGAGAAGGCTAGAAACGTGTACAAGGCTAGAAGGCTAAGTGTCAGACTGAAAAGTTCAGACTTGATCCTATTAAAATGTGAAAGAAGCAAAGACATAAGAATGCTTTAAGTTTAGTATGTTTTAGTATGTTTGTTTTTGATATATATACTTTAGAACAAAGTAACACAAACCACTAACAGAACTAGACACATCTACCTTAAGTGGGACCAATGATAAGCTCCTTATCGTATATACTTTGGATTATAAAAAGACTGCAGGAAAATTAGATATGAGGACAATATTTTGTACACGTTCATTAGATCAGATTTGGTTTATGTTATTTATATCATCTGTGTCCTTACTGATATTTTTGTCTTCATCATCTAAAAATTACTAAGAAAGGCATGTTTAAAATCCCCTACTGTAATTATGGATTTATCTATTTCTTAAGATCAGATATTATATTTCTAGACTGTCCATTTGATTCCTTTTTATTTTATATAGATTCCAATTTTCTGGTGACAGAAGAATTATAATGTTTAATGACACAGAAAAAGCTTTTCAGTCCATTTTTGGACCAAATCTAACCTTGTATGCTGTTCAAAACAGCTTGATTTTCTTTCCCCCGTGCCCTTTCCTTTGTCAGCAATCTACTTCAAGCCAAACATACCTCAATATTTAGAGCACATTAGTGCTGCTCAGTCAGACCTCCATTTTATGCTGAGAATGGTTGCCCACATGATCAAAGGAGTTTAAATTCACACACACATACACACACACACACACACACACAAAACCTGAATTAGTTACAGACACATTATCTGGTCACATTTCATACCTCTCTTCTTTTTATAGGTGGTTACTTGCCCTTTTAAAAATTTCTGTCAGTTGAAAGAGGGCAATTCTTAAAGTTAACTGAAACTATAATTTAGTTTCATTAAGTTTCCTTTAGAATAAACACACTAAACCATCAGGGGATTTTTTTTTTTTATAATGTCTTCAAAACATGAAGAAAGAAAAAATAAAGAATGCTAAACAAAAGGCATACAAATCAGCACATTGTGGTTTAAAAAAAAAAATAGAAAGAAGACTGCTGCATGAATAGGTTGAGCTTAGGCTGTTACAATAACAGGCTTTAGCAGAAGACAACAACTATTCACAGGCCTTATTAAGATAGTCATTCCCTGGATGGAGCCTGAGGTTTGAGAGACATGTTGAGAGAAGCAAGGCCACCCACATAGGTAGCTAGATATACTGAATCAATCCTGGCAAGGAAGGTGAAGGTTCTGGGGGCCAAATTGCCTCACATCCCCACTACTAACGTACTTCCTCACCCCCAGGAGCAGGAACTGTTTGTTTTGTTCACACCATGTCCTTAATACAGTATTTAGGATGTGGCAAAGGCTCAGTAAATATCTGCTCGGTAAATAAATGATGCCCACAAGTTTTTTACCACTAAAACCTTGATTTCCTGTAAAGCAAAAGAGTTGGTCTAGATCAATACATTCATTTTCAGCTCTAAAATTCTCTACTTCTTCGAGTTAGAATTTCTCAATACATCACATAAAGTGTCAATAAAGTTACTCCAGGACATCTGGGTTTGAATATATGTCTAGTCACAAGATTTCACACCTTACTCACTACAGTCCAGTATAAGATAAACAACGAATCTGCCCTGTTGAAACTACTGAAACAATATGTATGTTTCATGGGTACACATATATGTTGAAACTTACCAAACTATACACTTTAAATTTGTCCAGTTTATTGTATGTCCATTACACCTTGATAAAGCTGTGAAAACACACACATACTCACACTCTCAAGAAACTACTGAAATTGCTGAATATTGCTAAGGCAGTAAGAGATACAAGCTAGTTCTTGTAGAAATAACATAAAATATGTCTGATCACCCAGCTAAAACAGGAGAGAAGCAGATGCTCACAAAAACAAGAATAGGGACTTCCCTGGTGGTCCAGTGGCTAAGACCCCAAGCTGCCAATACAAGGGGCTGGAGTTCCATTCCTGGCCAGGAAACTAGATCCCATGTGCTACAATTAAGACTCAGTGCAGCCAAATAAATTAATGTAAAAAAATAATAATGGCAGCAGCAAAACTGAGCTCCTTTAGATTCTTGAAGACTCAGAAAAACCTGTTGCCTGGCTTAACCAAATAATCTTACTTACTGTGAAGGAAACACACTTACTTTTTAAATAGTATCACATGTATTTATCTTCCTTAGTCAACTGTCAATTAGAAATTATTTTCTAACCTTTAACAACCTTCTCCAAAAAGGAAAAATTAGTTTTAGTCCATTATTTTAGATAGGATCTCAAATAATGAAGCAACTTGACAACATCACAAAACCACTAGTTCAAGAAATCTGGTTTTATTAAATATATTTGCTAAAGGGAATCCCCTAGCAGTTCAGTGGCTAAAACTCCAAGTTTTCACTGTGGAGGGTGTAGGTTCAATCCCCGGTCAAAGACCTAAGACTCCACAAGCCCTGTGGAGTCTTAAAAATAAATATATTAATATTTGCTAAAGACTGAAATGAGATTAAACATTAAAGTATATCCCGTATCTTTAAAATTTATTAATGGTTTTCAAACCACCTCTAATTGTTACAGGCAGAAAGTCTGACTTCTATATATTTCATACCCCTTTCTAAATAGTTCAACTAGCTAGTTATATACAAGAAACATGGGTAGAAACTATAGGAGAATCAGAAAACTATAGAAAGTATCAAGTCCTGAAACTTAGTCCCCAATTTGGGTATTCTTGGCTTGACATAAAAAGTCACAGTTATTCAAATATTTTAAAGAAGGCACATTAAGAGAAATGTCATAAGATACTTTATAATGTGACTGACTGCCAATAAAAATAATAGGGTAAGCGAAAATCCAAGGCAGCGGTCCCCAACCTTTTTGACACCAGGTATCGGTCTTGTGGAAGACAATTTTTCCATGGAGGGTTGGGGGGATGGTTGTGGGATGATTCAAGCACATTATGCTTATTGTGCACTTTATTTCTATTATTATTATTATATCAACTCCACTTCAAATCATCACGCATTAGATTCTGGGGGTTAAGGACCCTTGACCTAAGGCATTCACCATGGGTAGATTCTAAGAAGAGAAAAAAGTTTTACACTGATAACATTTTCATGGATTGACTGTTCCTTCTGATTACTCTTAATTGTCTAAGCCTGTGCATGAAAACAGTTGTTATTCAAAGGATACCAAAAGTTTAAAAAGAACAATAGCTGTTTTTATAACACTTAAGAGAAATGGTAAACAATTTAAGCTGACTGATTTTATGTGCCTCTTCATGTGATCAATGTAATGGTCTTGCTGGAAGTTGGGACCTGATAATCTTATCATGAAGAAATAGACAAATCTAGAATATGGGCTGTTCTGTGGGACAACTGGCCTGGACACTTCAAAAGATTCACCATCATTAAGGAAAGAGACTGGTGACATGACTGTTTCAGATCGGGGAAACTAAAAAACACAAGAGGCACATGCAAAATGCTGGAACCTTGGCTGCATCGGATTAGGAAGAAAAGGAGCTGTATGGGCTATGTGGGGGCTAATACAGGAAATTTGAGTTACATGCAAATAGCATGTGGGATGACAGCACTGAGTTACTGCTGATCTCTCAATTACAGTAATGGTACAAGGGTTATATAAGAGAATGTCCCTGCATTTAGGAAATACATACTTGAGAGGTATTTACAGGTGGTGTCGTGAAATCTGCAACCTACTTTTGGATCATCTGACAAAAGAGTGTGTGTGTGTGTGTGTGTGTGTGTGTGTGTGTGTGTGTGTGTGTGTGTGTGTGTGTGTGTGTGTGTGTGTGTGTGTGTGTGTGTGTGTGTGTGTGTGTGTGTGTGTGTGTGTAGGAGAGAGAAGCAATATTTGTGGTAAGATAACTGTTGGTGAATTTAAAGGATATACAGGTTCGGGCTTTCCTGGTGGCTCAGTGGTAAGGAATCTTCCTGCCAGTGCAAGAGATGTGGGTTCGACCCCTGGTCCAGGAAGAGCCCCTGGAGAAGGAAATGGTAACCCACTCCAGTATTCTTGCCTGGGAAATCCCATGGACAGAGGAGCCTGGCGGGCTACAGTCCATGGGGTCACAAAGAGTCTGACATGACTTAGTGACTAAACAAAACATACAAGTGTGTTCATGGAGTTTTCTTTCAATTTTACTGTGGGTTTGAAATTTTCAAGATTTAAAAAAATCATAATTCCTTGAAGTTTATTTGCTTTTTTCCACCCAGAGTATGCTCAGAAAAGTTAAATGAACATGGAGGAAAATATAGCAAATTCAGGGCTTTACATACCTTCCACATCATACCAGTGCGCACCATTCGTGATCCCATCTTTAAAAGTTTCATCTTCATCTCCAGGACAATGAGGGGCACCAGTTTTCATTATGGGATGGTTTGAAGCATAGGCTTTTGCCAGATATCTAAATACTTCATCATCTGAAGTTTTGCTATAGACTCCAGTGGCCTTATGTTCTGGAGAGTCATCAAAAGGATAGCTTGCTACCACCGAGCCACCATGCAGGTTTCCGGAGAGCACAAACCTTTGAAAATCAAAATCACACATCACTTTTTAAAAGGCACAGAAAACATATATTTAAAATTCTACACCTTTTATCGATGAACTTAGATATTCCTCTTGAGACCTAGAAGACAATTCTATCAACAGTTATAATTTGACCAAACAACATAGAGGGAAAATGGAAAGAAAACTTTATCCATTCAACAAATTTCAAGCAATTTTTACAATTCTTAACTTCAAATAACTTTAAAGAATTTTCCAATCATTGAAAAAAAATAGCTTAATAACACAGTAGAAATTAATGTTTTAGGAGATGTCTTATTCAGGGACCTCTATTAGGTTGAACAATATGAACTTGCCAATATTCAACCATGTTTTAACCTACAAAAATGACAATTTCATAGAGTTCAATCTAATTCTTGTACTTCATAATGTGTCAATCTCATAGAAAGTGTGGCTTATATAAATAAATATTTGTTGAATACACGAGTTGGGCTAATAAGTTTCATGCTTTTTATATTACTGTCCAGAGAGAATTTTTGAGATTCAGAGACAAATAAATTAGAACAAGATGTGTTTTGTCTCATTCCAGTTTCACAATACACTAAACTCACATTTTTGAGAGAGACACTATAGTTGAGAAGATTGGTGGTAGGGTTGGGGAAGAGACCTGACCCTGTGAGTTGCTTTCAGAGAAAAACAATACATGACACTGCATCACTGTAAAAGCAGCTCTCCTTCTGGGACCAAGGTTCCTGGTTGGGCCATTAAAAAATAAACTGACATGAAGATAAGGCTGCTTCTATAAAAAGAAACATTTTAATTTTTGTTATGTTTTTACTTTTAAGTGAACCCACTTACAATCCAGTCACATTTATAGATATAGAAATACTGAAGAACTCCTTTTATGGTAAAAGCTAAAGGCAAAAACATGCTGCAGCCCTATTTATACATTTTCCACTCATGTAACAGCTCAACGTGTTTTTATGGCTGGAGATTAAACACTTTTTGCAGTTGAAATTGAATTTTTTGCTTCTGCCTTTTTGTGATTGAAAGAAACTGACCTACAGAAATTCTAAAGGGGGTTGATCTATAACATTTTATATGCTTGAAAGAAAATTAAGTCTATGATATGTTTAATTTGAAAAGTTAAATATGATTAGTACCTCCCAGAGGAGGTCAAACAATGAAAATTACTTATAACACAGAATCTGTCCTCAGAAGACAGAAATGAGCTGATAAAGACAGTGAATAAATACCAGAATAGACTATGAAAAAAGCAGAGTTTAATAACTAATATAATTACAATTAGCACAATTCCAGACACCAGAGGAGAAGACCATTTGGTGTCGTGGCAATAGCACAGGCTCTGAAACCAGGCAAATATGGGTAAGAACATTTGGTTTCCCAGACAGGTCACTCACTACTAACATGATCAGGTAAAGTTGCTGCCTCTAAATCCACTGAACCCTAGTTTTTCTCTCACCTGTAAAATGGGGATTAATGCTACCTCCTTCCCAGGGTGGATACGAGAATTAAATAAGGTAATTAAATAAGGTAATATTCCAGCACAATGACTGCTTTCAAGCATCTGCTCAACAAATGCTCCTTTCTTTGGAGATATTTGCATCCTGCTCAGGGAATCACTGCCTTAAAGACTATCAATCCAACCCCAAATTCCAATGCCAGAAAGAATGATACAGAAGCAAAAATTAAGTGTATATTCTAACACTCTAACTCCACCTTACCCAACCCTGCTCCACAGCAAGGCATTAACTATTTACTTTTCGGCTTCTATGCTTTAAATAATTTAAGTACTTTTCCTCCCAGTTATGACTTGGGGAAAGTTACAAGAAGGCCAGCCCAGTTCAGGCAATCTATTCAGCAACAAATTTTCTTGAGTGTCAACTGTAAGCCAAATGTTCTAGACACCAAGGAATACAACAGAGAAGAAACAAATACAAAGATACCCTCATGGCATTCATATTCTAGTGGGGAAAAAGTGGATAACTGAATATTCTAAGTAAGTGAAGCATGCTATTTTAACTATATATTTTCAATTAAGACTTTAAATTCCAAGATTCTCTGCTAAAAGCTGTTTCTCACTTTGTCATTTCTTCTAACATTTCTCAGAAATACTATTAAAGTAGCCTAACCGAATACCTTTAGAACAATGAAATATTTGCAATCTACTCCAGTGATAAATTATTAAATTTTCCTTACTCTGCTTACATAGTTTTAAAAGTACCAGTGCCGCTCTAGTAAGGACAATTTCAAGAGAAAGTGATATCTATTATAGTGGCTATAAGATTATTGCTTTTAGTCTTTGTCAAACCAACTTTGATATCAATCTAATTTTATTTGAAGGGTATTTTAGTTTCCATTCAAATCAGTTCTCTTAAGTGTTTCTCACACTTGACTTCAATATCATATATCATTTCTTGCATAAGATTTAAAGTAGCTGCTAAATATATCATAAAAATATTAAAAAATCCATCTCTAAGTTAATTCTATTATGGTCCCCAGATAAATCTGTAAATAATTGTAAAAAATTAAGAAAACTTGATGTCTGATAAACTAAATTCTAAAGATTTCAGGGAACTGTACTCACCCCAATAATACAATGTTTTTCACAAACATACCCCAAAAATCATTTTTGCACAATCTATTAAAGTCTAAGCAGCTATATTTAAGTAAAGAAGTATGCCAAAAATATGAGGATCAAGTAAACTATAAAATATTTTAATGATGGAGTTAAAATCTTATATATTTTCCTAAGCATATGAGTCAACTGTCAACAGTACAAAATCACTGAATGGGTGAAGTATAAAGTGAAACAAAGAAAATAAACTTCACTTTCCTAAGCAGGAGAAAATGAGTTTTAAAATTTTACATATCCAAAGCAACAATGACAAAAAAAAAAAATCTATTTCTAATACAGCTGGGTGACTAGGATGTCAAGAAATTATGCAAATAGTTTATTTCACAGAATACACTGAAAAAGGTACATTCCCTATACTGTCTGTGGTTTTAGAATTTCCTCTCTATAAAGCTGACTCTGTATTTAGGAATCAGTCTCAGATCATGCATGTGCTTGTTTTTTGCTTTATTCACGTATCCCTTGTTACTGAATAATCATTAAATAATATGCATTTTGAGTTATTTATGACTGAGGATGGATGGGTATACTTTTACCCTAAATACTCACCTACTTTTCCTTCTGATTTAGAGTTACATTTGAAAAGAGGGAGGATATGACTAGGTAGTCCATAGCCACAAAAGAGAGCAACTTTTAACTGTGTTAATTAACTGTGTTAATACCAACCGACACAGATGAGCTTTTCAAATCTTCACAAGCTCCTATCATTGAACTACCCAGCCTGGACCGTACCTTGTAATCATTAAATACTGGTGATATGAAAGAATTGTCCAGAGAGCACATTTTTGCTTCCAAATTTAAAGTTCAAAGCTTTCAGTATAGTCTCAAGGTGACTTGCACCAAGACAGAGCTTATTTTTATTTTTGGTCACAGCAGAACTAATACTGAACAGAAATATCTACTCACAGAATTTACATCCTTGTAAAGGTCATGATGGAGCATTTTAGACTGTTTGCATTGCTTAAAGTCACACTTCTTATGCAACTGTTCAGAGTGCCTGACATCATTATCTTTAAAAGAAAAATCTTCCCAGAAAGTGTATGTGAAGTTAATGCCTCCCAGGGGTTAATGCCTACTCCTCTCAGAAGGAGTAAAGTGAAAGGTGGGGAGAGAAAACAAATCTACAATTGTCATAATGTCCATGAATTTTTCAAGGTCTGCTACATACATACTAAATCTTGTAGAAGAGATGATTCTAAGTCCTACAGGAAAACACCTGAGTTTATTATTGCTTTTATTTTATCTGTCACTCAGAAATCTTCAGATCACGATAGAAAGCTTAGTTGCTCCACAAGCCTATGTCATTGTTGTTTGGTCTAAGTTGTGTCTCACTCTTCAGAGACCCCATGGGCTGTAGCCCACCAGGCTCCTTCTGTCCATGGGATTTCCCAGGCAGGAATACTGGAGTGGGTAGCCATTCCCTTCTCCAGGGGATCGTCCCCACCCAAAGATCGAACCCATGTCTCTTACATTGGCAGGCAGATTTTTACTGCTGAGCCACCAAGGAAGCCCTCTACAAGCCTTAGAAAGACACAAAAAAGAGGGTATGTTGGCAAGGTCAATAGCTGAGAAAGGGAAGAGGTGCCTGGTCACTTCGGACATGATTCCATAAGTTCCCTCTTCCTCTGTTCCTCTCCTCCTCTTTGCCAAAAATCCTACCCATCTCTCAAGACTCAAGTTATCCCTCTTTCACAGAGATGACCCCTATTATAGCAGACCACACATGTTTTGCCAGTAGGAGCAATTCCTGTAAAGCTTAACTGGGTACATAAACACACCTCCTCTATATTTAGCATGGTCTCATGTCATACACCTATTTCTTGAGGTCCTCATGCTTCTTTTAATATTTTAAATCCCACGTGGCACTAACACCTAAGGTGTGTTTGTGTGTGTTGCTTATAAGTGTGACAATGAGCCATACGACTCTGGTCCTCTAATAATGTGCATAAATGGAATCAGAAACCCTTCAGAGTCTAAAATGAGGCTGCTCCCAGGTGAAGGTTCCAGATCTGGAGGAGTTCTCCGGCCAGCCATATCTATAGGCTCCATAGCTGAGTCAGAGGTGGAGACTGGAAGAGAATCAGTTTTTATCAAATAACCAAGAAAAAGACCCCACGGGTGTCCTCTGTGGGCTACACGCTCCCTCCAGGGCTCAGAACACTGACTAAATGCCTGAGTCCAGTTCCAGCTACTTCGGTAATATGTAAATGATTTTCATACTGGGTAAATTATTTACAGTCTGACTCTTGATTTCCCCCACATGCAAAACAAGGATGAGAATGCTGCCTGTCATCAGGTTGTATCCAATGTAAACTGAGATCATGCAGTCCACGGGGTTTACCACAGTGCCTGTAGTCATGACATAACAGCAATTTTGTCAGTTTATCTATAAAAAAATAAGCGAGCTGACCGAGGTCATCCTGAAGGTCTCTTCCACCGCTTATTCTACTGTCCTGTTAAGAACAGGGACCAGAAAGGAGTCTCCCCTCCAGCCAAACGGCGGCTCTCTGCATTCTTTGAATAAATGACATCCTCCAGGCAGCGCTTCTCCAATAATTATCATGGGGACAGAGGCTAAGCGGCCTTGGCCCTAGCTCCCCTTTGGGGTATCGCCCTCCGCCCTCACTACCCCAGTCCCTTAGGCCTGCGAGCACTGTTTGAGCGCCTACGAAGTGCGGGACCCAGCCTGTGCCCCGGAGGGATGCGTGGATGGCGAGGTGGGTGGAGGAAGGGCGGTACTCACTTGTTCCTGCGGATCCACTCGATCAGGGCGCGCACCTCTGGCACGTCGTCCAGGGACGGGGGCTCGCCGGTGCTGAACTGGTCGGGGAAGCTGCGGTTGAGGTCGCGGCCGCGGCTGTTGTCGCGGCCGCTGGCCCCGGGAGGGCCGCTGTCGCCGAGGCCGCAGTCACCCTCGCGGGCGCGCTCAAAGCCGTCGGGGTTGAGGCTGGGCAGCACGTACACGTCAGTGGTGTTGAGCAGGCGGACCAGGCGCGGGTCCCCGCGGCGGTAGCCGGCCGCCAGCTCGCGGGCCAGGTAGATGAGCACCTGGCGCGACACGGTCTCGTCCCCGTGCATATTGCCCACCAGCTTCACCTGCGGCCGGCCAGGCAGGAGCGGCCCCGCCGCGTCGGGCCCCGGGTCGCCGTCAGGAGGCGGTGGCCCCAGGCCGGCCGTGAGGCGCAGCACCCACAGCGGCCGGCCCTCCACCGAACTGCCGATGCTGAAGAGGCGGGCCAGGCCCGGGGGCCCCGCGGCCGCCGCCTCCCTCAGCGCCGAGCCCAGCTCCTCTTCGTGGTAGTAGCGGTCAAACTGGCCCTTGTCTTCCTCGGCGCCCGCGCTCGTCGTCGTCGTCGTGGTCGCCTCCGCCTTCTTGATGTGCGCGGCCCGGGCCGGGCTCCGCAGCAGCTGCAGCAGCAGCAGTAGACACAGCAGCAGCGGGAGGCGCCCGGGCCGCCAGGGCGGCCGCGCGTCCCAGCCACTCGCCATCTTCCAGCAGCTCCGCTAACCCCGGCTCCGTTCCCCCGGCTCCGCGCTCCGGGAGGCCGGGGCCCGCCGGATCCTCTCCGCCCCTAGCAACCCCATCCCGCCCTCCGGCCGCAGCCAATGGTGGGCGGGCCTGCCGTAGCGTCACTCCGTGGGCGGGGCCGTCCTTAAAGCAGCAGATGCCCCTCTGGGCGTGCCTTCCTTCTGTCCGGGTAGAGTTTGGTCACTCTCCTCTTCGGTCAGGGTTCCTGTCCCTCTCTCTCCCTCCTCCCCGTTTCCTTTACTGCGTTTGCTCCGCTTCTCCTCTACTCCCTCATTCTCTTCTCTATGGGTTATGCCTTCATTCTCACCCCTTTTCCTCTGAGTACTATCACCTGCTTCCTTCCCATCTTTGTTGCCGCTTTCCCCAGCTGCGCTTTAACGCTTAGAACCGAGAATAAAAGAATCAGAAGGTTCGAAAAGAATCAAAGGACTTGGAAAAAACAAAACCTCAAAGGTTCGAAAGAATCTGCCTTAGAAGAGACAGAAGACGTCGCAGCCCTTCCCACCGTGCACCCTTTCCATCGGAGTGGGTCTGTCTTAACTTGAGCCCAGCGTCCTGCCAGCCAGCGGTTGAAGGGACTGGGTCACTTGGAGTGGCAGAGGGTTCACTACCTCTTTTCCAGCTTTTAGTCTTTATGTTGAAAGAAGATGTCGCCTTTATGTCTAGTGAAAATCTTCTATGTAGTAGGCTCTCTTTGTGTTGATGGATTTATTTCCTCGGTGTCACCCCAGTTTATTTCACTGCCAGAGGTTCCAGTGTGGGCTGGTCTCAGCCCTGTAGGTGGAATTCATTTCATGGTTCACTTGCCCACCTTTCACACTTCTCCTGAGCGAGTTACTTGTTTAACTGTGGCCTTAGAGTGGCATTTCAAAAGCAGCAGGTATGACATTTCTGGAAACGCTTGGTGAGTATAATTCCAAAATGCCTTAAAGCTGGCAAATACAATGTGTTATCATCTAGAGAAGAGGCCTTTAAACTGGTCTTTAAAGTAGGCTTAGATCACTTTAGCTTGAAGAAGCACAAAACCTCCTAATTCTTTTATCAGGTGTGAAATTTTACCCATCAAAGAACATAATTGCAATAACTGTTGTAGTTCCTTTCAGAGCGAGGCATTTCCAAGCTCCTTCCTTGAACTATGGTTGAACCCTAATGTGAATAGTAAAGAATTAATTCATTCATGTATCATTTATTTATTGAGCAACTATTGTGTGCCAGAGCTATGGTGCTGGGAAGCAGTTCACTCTGCCCAGAGACTGGATACAGTTTGTGATAAGTTTACAATTAGGGATGTAGGAAAATTCATTCAACCCAAGGAGGAGGAGCACAGGAGGAGAGAAATTAGGAGAGGAAGCGGGTAGGTATTCTGGGCAGAACGAGGAGCAAACACTGAAAGCTTAGGAGCAAATACTGCACATCCTAGGAACTGCATACAGGTCAGGATTGTGAAGGAGCTCATGGGTATAGAGGACACAAACCAGAGAAGCAGAAGAAGAATTCAAAGAGCCTCACAAGCTGGGCTCTGGGGAGCATTTGATCCATAAGACCATGGAGAGCCACTGAGAGATGTTAAGCTAGTTTAGAAAAATCCCAGGACTTCCCTGGCAATCCAGTGGTTAAGAATCAGCCTTCCAACACAAGGGACGCAAGTATGATCCCTGGTCAGGGAACTAAGATCCCACACCCTACAGGGTAGCTAAGCCCATGTGCCAGGACGAGGACCCAGTGCAGCCAAAAATAAATTAATAAAAAATAAACTGAAGGTGTTAGTTGCTCAGTCATGTCCGACTCTTTGCAACCCCATGGACTGTAGCCCACCAGGATCCTCTGTCCATGCAAGAATTCTCCCGGCAAGAATATAGAGCCCCTTAAAAAAAAAAAATGTAACAATAACAGTGGAGAATGCAGTGGAAGGCCTAAGACTTGAGGCTGAGAAACCTGTAAGGAAGATAAAATCCAAAAAGACATGACGAGGCTTTGAACCCTTGAGGACAGTGCCAGTGGAGATGGAAAGGAGGAAATGGATTTGAAAGACCTTTAGGAGAGAACACAGGCAGGAAAGAGAAGGTGACAGAGAGAAAGAAGCTGTAGGCTGACTTCAAGTTCCAGCCAAAGCAACTTGCGAGCTTTCACTGGGGAAGAGGACAGGAGAAGGTGGGGGCTTAGGTGAGGATGATGAATTTAGCACAGTCACTGTGGTCCTGTGAGCATCTCTTCTCCTCCATGCCTGTTTGGTTTCATGTGCCTCTTACACACCAGCTGCAACTCATCAGAAGCAAAGCCCCAACTCTGTACAGAGACCACCTCCCCCCCCCACCCCAGGGAGTACTTAATCATTACTCTGTGCACTTTTACAATAATCCAAATCAAAGAGGCCCCAGGGGGCATGTTAACCTCTAATCAAATATTTCCTTTTCTACCATTTTCACTCTCCTTGGAAGCCTCTTCCTGCCAACTCACTCCTGCAGCCTCACCTAGGGAGGCAGTAAATAAACATGTGAGGGCTGTGAAATAATGTGATGTAACTTGAGCCAGTGCCCTCCCAAGAATCCCCAGGCCTCCCGCCTTGCAACTGCAAGCTCTTTCTGGTTTGGAGCCTCCATCCTACGCAGGTACTCTGTGCTGCTGGTTCGAAGTGAAACCCAAAGCTCCCGACCCGGTCACTGCTCACTGGAGGGGAAGCCTCCAACTAAATAACTCCAGCTGCCCCTGAGAAATCCTAACCTTGTGACAGGTGTCCCTTTTCTCCTTTCCACAAGGAACGTCCTGGCTTCCTGAGTGAAGGAACTTGGGAAAAAGTTTCCAGTTCACAGAAGCTGAGTGGTAATGGCTTTTTGAAAAATAAAGCAGAGCTTGTTGGATGGCCTGCTAGTCTTCAGTAACCACTTTTTCTAAAAGACTCATAGGTAATCGAAACACAGCATAGATTATGAACTTGTAAATGTCACATGGTCTGGCAGAAACACCCACAAACTGACAAGTTCAATTTGACAAATGGTTATGGTGCATCCATCTAGCGAAAGGTCTGCTCTATGGGTGACAGAGGATTGGGGGATAAATAAAGGATTGTCCTCTGCTAGAAAGCCAGAGTCTAGTGAGAGAGACAGAACACAGGCAGGACAGGATACATCCATGGGGCCAGTGCTATGTAACAGCCACTGTACTAAACCTTTTCATTGGTTGATGCATTTAATCTTCACAACAATCCAGAGGTAGGTACTATTAACTCTCCTGTTTCAAAGATAGATACACTGAGGCACAAGATATCACAGCTGGCAAACCACAGATCCAGGACTCAAACCCAGGGAGTCTGGCTCAAGAGTCTGTGTGTTTACTCAACAATAAAACTGCTTTTATGGCGTGAACTAAAACAAAACAAAATGAAACAAAAATGGAAAAACCTCGATATTGGAACCCAGAGAAGAAAGCAACTAATTTTGATGAGGCATCAGAGAAAACTTCATCCATACTGAGTTCATGAACTGAGTTCAAATTCTAGATCAACCATTTTCTAGCTATTTTAACTTGGGGAAGTTATTTTATTTTTCTGAGAATTAAGTGAGATAATACAGGTATAATATTCTTTGGTACTTGGCATATAACAAGCTTTCAGAAATCATCATTATTTGTGTGTGTGTGTGTGTGTGTGTGTGTGTGTGTGTGTGTGTGTGTGTGTGTTTAATAAGAATTCTCAAACAGGGAAGAAAATGGAGATTAGGGCAGTCAAGGCAGAAGGACCAGTGAAAACAGAGGGTAACGGTGACTGGAATATAAGGTGTGTTGGGAGGAGCAGCAGGAGCCATAGCTATGAAAGAAGAATGGTACCAGATGATGAAAGGCCTCAAATATGCTAAAGGAGTTTTGCTTTATTCCACAGCAAATGAAAAACTTACAGAGTTGTTTATGAAGAGAGTGGTATGGATCATATCCATGTTTCAGCAAGAGAATTCCAGGGGCTGTGTGGGGCAGACTTAAAAGCTGTTGCTGTCTAGACAAGAGCTGATTCTGGCAATATCAGAGAGGATAGAAAGGAGAAGATATGTTAGAATGATGTTTGGGTTATTGGATTGACAAGATTTAGCAACTACTTGGGTAAAAAGGAGAAGTAAAAGACAGCTTCCCAGGCTAGTGAAGGTGACCAGGTAAATGGCCTTGTCAGTATCCAAGACAAGGAAGGGCATAGGATCAAATACACCAGCAGAGGCTTGGTCTTAGGTAAGAACACAGACACTTTGCTGGTGGCTTGATGGTAAACAATCCCCCCTCCAATGCAGGAGATGCGGGTTCAACCCCTGGTCCAGAAAGATCCCCTGGAGAAGAAAATGCCAACCCACCCCAGTAATCTTGCCTGGGAAATCCCATGAACAGAGGAGCCTGGTGGGCTACAGTCCATGGGGTCGCAAAAGAGCTGGACGTGACTTAGTGACTAAACAACAGACACTTCACCTGTATTCACAAATGGAAAAGCAGAATGTGTGAGTGTAAGTACAATTAAGTGAGTAGATGACATGCTGGGAGCTGGTAGATATTCTCTGCTGATTGCTTTTATTTTCTAAATGAAATGGGATGTTGTCATCAGTTGAGGGTAAGGATGTGGTAACAGCTGTTGGAGGTTTGAGGAAAGAGAGAAAGATGTGAAATAATCATCACAAGGAGTGGAAGAGAGAAATGGAGAGTAATAGTTTTCAGCCATTGACCATAGGGACCAGCAGTTTTTTAACATGCCATCAAGACTTGCTAATGGGATATGGAACAGAGGGGTTTGTTGGCTTGATTTGTTGGTTTGTTTTCATTTTTATAGCATTTGCTCTTACTTCCTCAGAGTCCTTATCTTTCCAGGCCAAAGAGAAATGAAAGATGTTTATTGAAATCACTTTCAAAAATTGCCCTTGGTTAGGTCAGCCCATTCTATCTTAGTCAAGCCTGATTCTAAGGCATAGATAGGCTGCTCCTGAAACATGAA